CCCACCCCCCACTCTGAGGTGGAGCCTGCAACCCCGGCATGTGCCCTGTCTGGGAATGGAACTGTGACCTCCTGGTTTATGGGTCGACATTGGGCCAGGCCTGAATCATTCACTTTATTTTTTAAATTTTTTTTTTTTTATTGATTTCAGAGAGGAAGGGAGAGGGAGGGAGAGAAATAGAAACATCATCGATGAGAATCATGGCTCGGCTGCCTCCTGCACGCCCCCTAGTGGGGACTGAGCCCGCGACCCAGGCCTGTGCCCTTGATCTGAATCGAACTCAGAACCTTCGGTCCGCAGGCTGACGCTCTAGCTCAGGGGTGGGCAAACTTTTTGACTCGAGGGCCGCAATGGGTTCTTAAACTGGACCGGAGGCCGGAACAAAAGCGTGGATGGAGTGTCTGTGTGAACTAATATAAATTCAAAGTAAACATCATTACATAAAAGGGTACGGTCTTTTTTTTTTTTTTTTTTTTTTTTTTAGTTTTATTCATTTCAAACGGGCCGGATCCGGCCCGCGGGCCGTAGTTTGCCCACGGCTGCTCTATCCTCTGAGCCAAACGGTTCACTTTAAAATGGTGTTTTATTATATAGATTTCACTTCCATTTTTAAAACACACAATTCCTACATTAGCAACATCACTACCTTTGAACTTATGTCTCTGAAATAGCAGCTCAGTACCTCCTCACTTACAGATAAGGCAGCGGAGGCTCAGAGAAGTTAACCAACCAGCCAAAGGCAGCAGTGGTGTAAGTGACCGAGTCTGGGCCAAAAGCCAACTCCGGCTCCGGAGCCAGAGGTCCAGGCACTGCAGAGAGCCCTGGACAAGGAGGGCCCTGCTCTGAGGGACTGTGAGCAGGCAGCTCCGCCCTGGAGATGCCCCCCACCCCCTCTTCATGGCCCAGAGCTCCTTCCAGCTGGGGGACCTCGCGGGCTGCGTTTCCCCAGCCCTCCACCCCCTTCAGGCCCCTGGGTCCCTGTGCAAAGGCTGCAGCCTCCCCAGGGCTGGCCACAGCCGGGCGTCTCTGTGCTCAGGCTGAGCTATGAGCTATTGCAATGTCCCCGGTGGAGACAGCTGGCTCTGGGTTCATAACCTGCCTCGCAAGAGAACAGATGGAAATAAGGAGGCCTGGTCCCGGGGTGTCGGCCGCCGCTGGAGAGGCAGCCGGGAGGTGCTGCTACTCTGGGAGCTTGGGTCCCGGTGTCGCAGGAAAAGGGCGCCCAGAGGAGAGGTCTGAGAATCGCAGGTTCACTCGCCTCCTCCGCAGGTGCTGGGAAAGTCCAAGCGAACGGACAGGAACCTCCTGGGGACCCCGAGCTGGGCACCCCAGCCCCGCCAGGTTCACTTCTGTTGCAGAGGTTGCGTGCGGGTGGTGTGGGTCCTGGGCGAGGCAGGAAACTGGCCGATGCTGGGCAGTCCCCCGCATGTGACCCTGGCAGCTGCTTCTGTTTCCTTATCTTTTTTCCCCCAAAAGAGGAAGAGAGAGGGAGGGAGAGACAGAGACATCAATGATGAGAGAGAATCATGGGCCGGCTGCCTCCTGCGTGCCCCCCACTGGGGGTCGAGCCCGCAACCTGGGCCTGTGCCCTGACCAGAATCGAACCGTGACCTCCTGGTTTGTAGGTCGATGCTAAACCCCTGAGCCACGCCGGCCACCTCCTTATCTGTTAAATGCTCCAAACCAGCGGTCGCCAACCTTTCAGACCTCACGAACCACCAGTGGTCCGCGGACCCCCGGTTGGCGAGCGCTACTTCAAATGATCCCCCGCCCCTGGGTGGTCCTGCAGGCTGAGGATGGCAGGAGCGATGGGGGTCCTGGCCCCCCTTCTGCTGGGGTCCTGCTGGAGGCGCTGTGGCCGTCCCAGAGCAGGGTGGACCCCCCTCCTTAGTCTGGGTGGGGCAGTGCCCCCAGCGGCCTCTGCGGGGGGTGACCTGGCGGAGGCTGAGCCTGCAGAGCTGAGGAAGGTGCGTGAGAAGTGGCCACTCCATCTTTGTGAAACCCAGACCCTGCCTGTGGCGCACCTTCCTTTTCCGTTTGGGCAAATGCTCGACCGCTCAGGACGCACGTAAAGCTCTCAACAAAGAGGCCTGGACCCAGTGTGCCGGGACCCATGGCGGCTCCGTGGAGCAGGCGGTCCAGGCCCCGGGGTCCTAGGGAAGCCCTCCCGCCCAGTGTGGCCCCCGGCCCCCGAAGCAGACCGTGCAGTGGGGTGTGGAGCTCGTGGGAGAAGCAGGTGAGGGAGGGAGGCAGGTGCGAGTGGACAGCTGGAGGTGGTGCTTCCCCAGCAGACCACCCGTGGGGGCAGCTGGGCCTCAGTCCTCGGGGTGGTCCACCAGAGGGGGGGCTGTCCCATTCCGGGGCGGGGGGGGGCTGCCGGAGCTGTCACATCCTTCCCGGCTCTTCCGGGCTGCGCTGCTGCTCACAGGACAGACACTCCTTCCCTCGAGGCTGGAGGCCGGGGGCTAAGGTCAAGGTCAGCACTGAGGTCTGAGGGCCCAGGGGAGGGTCCTCCTGCCCCCCAGCTCCCCGCGCCCTGTGTGATCCTGGGCTTGCGGCCGCCCCATCGCAGGCCGTCTCCCTCTGCGATTCTGTGACCTCTTCTCTCATGAGGACACTTGTCTGTGGGTTTGGGGCCCCCTACACCCAGGAGGATCTCAGCTGAGACCTTCACTGGCCGCCCCCGCAAAGGCCCTGTCTCCAAGTCAAGGCACAGCCGAGACTCCGGGACAGCACTTGGCAGCGAGGAGGACGCCGACCCTCTGGCCTCAGGCCAACCCGCCAGGAAGGCGGCTCAGAAAGCCCAGGCGCAACAGCTCGCGCCTTCCCAGGAGGGGCCCGGGGCCTGCACCTCACCCAGCACACCCACAGAGACACGGGTATTCACACCACGTGTGCACTCAGGTCCACACACACGGTCAGGCACACACACGCACACAGGTCCACACGTGTGTGCTCACAGACAAGGCCTGCACACACCACACACATGGTCAGGCACACACACACACTCAGATCTCACTTACACGGACAAGGCACAGCCCTGACGGGACTCTGATCCCCTGAAAACTGTAACTGGGGACCCGTCAGCTCTGGAAACTTGGGGAGCACCCTTTCGAAGGGGGGTCCCCGTGCTGCCTCACGGCCTGCCCGCTGAGCACGGCTTTGACCTCAAAGCACAGCCCATTTCCGCCCCGTCCTGGGCCTCTCCAGAACCATCTGTGCCGACTCATCTGTACACGTCACTGTCTCTCAGGCCTGGCCACATGCATCCTGTTGTGAACCGGATGCTTCCGTGGCTGGGCCTGGGCTTGCTGCTCACACCAGCAAACAGCAGAACCCTGGCTGTTTTTAATATCGTTAATGTTTACCCTAGGTCATACATGAACATGGCAAAAATTCAGATCGTTCAAACACAGGCACGGCCCCGCCCACCCCTCTCCCGCCACCAAGTCCCCCGTGACCCACACCGAGGCTGTCCTCCCAGAGCCGGTCCAGGCGACACATGCAGACGGGCATGGACACACCCCTGCACCTACACACACACACACACACACACACACACACACACACACACACACACACACACACATATACACATGTATGTTAACACAGTTCCGCCCGGCTTTTGTCACCTGCATGTTTTCCTGTTGATGGAAAAGGTGACAGACGCTTCTACAGGCGGATGCGACCAGAGCCTGGGCGCCCCACGAGCTCGTCCCGCTCGTCCCGCTCCTGAGGGACAGGGTCGCCCTCAGCAGAGCCGGGTGTCGGGAAGAACGAGGGGACACAGGGGGGACGGGCAGCCAGGGGAGAGCATCCTCATCTTCCCCCGACGCTGGCTGATCTGCAAGCCGTGTGCACACGGGGTGGGAACCAGTGTCCCTGCAGACTGGCCAAGGCCATCCCAGGGGTAGGAGGATTCATTTTATGCGTCAACTTGTCTGGGCCACGGGCCCAGGTATGTGGTCACACACCAGGCCAGAGGCCGCCCTGACACTGTTGTTCCGATGAGATGAACCTGGAATTCAGCGGGAACTTGAAGTCAAGCAGATCCCCTCCCTGCGGGGGCTCCTCTGAGCGCGGAAGGCTGGTGGGGAGGGGTGGGTCCCTGCAGGGGAGCAGATCCCCTCCCTGCGGGGGCTCCTCTGAGCGAGGAAGGCTGGTGGGGAGGGCTGGGTCCGTGCAGGGGAGCAGATCCCCTCCCTGCGGGGGCTCCTCTGAGCGCGGAAGGCTGGTGGGGAGGGCTGGGTCCGTGCAGGGGAGCAGATCCCCTCCCTGCGGGGGCTCCTCTGAGCGCGGAAGGCTGGTGGGGAGGGCTGGGTCCGTGCAGGGGAGCATGGCCTCAGGCGGCCGGACTGAGGCTGTGGCCTCGGAGCCTCCTGGGCCTCCCATCTGCCCTGCAGGTTTCAGATCGCAGGCCCTGCCGTCACATGAGCCAGTTCCTTAAAGGAAATCTCTCTCTCCTCTTCCTCTTCCTCTTTTGTGCACACACACGTGCACACACGTACACATGCATGTACATACACATACTGTACGTGTGTGCGCACTTCGCGCATGCACACACAGACACACACCCCCTATTGGTTGTCTCTCTGGACAGTCCCAGCTACTGCACAGGGTGGGGACAAGCTCTCCTGCGGGCGGCCACTCGTGTCCGTGGCTTCCTCCACTTGCGCCTGGGCCCGAGGGAATGCCGGGTCCCAGTCCACGGAGGCGCCTCCCGGAGCAGGAGCCGGATGCACAGTGGTTCTGGGATGAGCACCCGCAGTCGGAATCACCCATAAAAGCCGAGGTGCCTGTGAGGGTCGGGGGGCGGAGAGGGGCTCTGACACCCAGGGTGGCCCCTCCTGAGGTCGCTGCTGAGACCACTGCTGGCGCTAAGGCTGCAGGAAGCGGGCAGGCTGCCCCACAGCGCCCCTGCCAGGGCCCGTCTCTCTATCCAGCTTCGGGGCACCGCCGCGCCCGGACTGGCGCTCTGGCCCCGGCTCTGCCTGCCGTCCTCACAGGGGTCTTCTCGGGCCCTTGGCGCTGCGGCCCCGGGGCCTGCGAGGGCTGCTGGGGGGCAGCGGGCTGCGGCCTTGGCCTCCACTGTCTGCAGACCCTGGAGGGGGGGAGATGTCAGTCTATGGTCCAGGCCAACTCCAGGCAGCCCTCTCCCCCCACCCCCCGCCCCCCGAGCCTCAGCAAACATGCTCAGTGCGCTCCCGGGCTCCCGGGTTTTCCACCAGACCCGCGCCCGCCAGAGAAGGGGGTCCCTGTCCACTGCTACGTGCAGTGCCCGTCTCCACGCAGAGGCCACCAGCCCCCGAGGAGGGATGTGGCGCTACCGTCCCGCTGGGCCCTCAACATGCGATGTGACCCAGGGACTGGCTTCCACTCCGGCCTCAGCCGGCCCCACGGAGGACGTGGCCTTTCCTGACACCTGCGGGGCCCACTCCAGGCCCTCGTGGATCTGGGAGCGCTGGTTTCTCTTGGGCCTGGGCTGGGCCCCGGGTGTCCTAGGGACTTGCTCTCACTGCCTGTGGCTGACAGGTACTCCCCTCTGCTGTCCGCCAGAGAGCTGCCAAAACAGTCACCCCTTTGGGGATATGATTTTAAACTGCTTATTAAGAAACAAGTCTTGCCCGGCCGGCGTGGCTCCGTGGTTGAGCATCAACCTATGAACTGGGAGGTCACAGGTTTGATTCCCAGTCAGGGCACAGGCCCGGGTTGCCAGCTTGATCCCCAGTGGGGGGTGTGCAGGAGGCAGCCGATCAGTGATTCTCTCTCATCACTGATGTTCCTATCTCTCTCCCCCTCTCCCTTCCTCTCTGAAATCAATAAAAATATATTTAAAAAGCAAGGAAGGAAGGAAGGAAGGAAGGAAGGAAGGCAGGAAGGAAGGAAGGAAGGGAGGAGAAAGAACCTCTGACACCCTCTTCCTCCCTCTCTGCCCAAGGGACTCAGCGGGGAACCCTGTATAGGAAGGAGACCTCAGGGTTCAGCCTCAGCCTGATTTGAATTAATTTGAATTCCGTGTGGTGAACCAGAGGGCTCCGGGCAGGCCTGTCAGCTGGACCGTGTCCCAGAGTGTGTGTGTGTGTGTGTGTGTGTGTGTGTGTGTGTGAGTGTGTGGGTATGTGTGCATGTGAGTGTGTGCATGTGTGTGTGAGTGTGTGCGCATGTGTGTGAGTGTGTGTGTGTGCATGTGTGTGAGTGTGTGTGTGTGTGAGAGTGTGTGGGTATGTGTGCATGTGAGTGTGTGCATGTATGTGTGAGTGTGTGCGCATGTGTGTGAGTGTGTGTGTGTGCATGTGTGTGAGTGTGTGTGTGTGTGTGAGAGTGTGTGGGTATGTGTGCATGTGAGTGTGTGCATGTGTGTGTGAGTGTGTGTGAATGTGTGTGAGTGTGTGAGAGTGTGTGCATGTGTGTGTGTGTGTGTGTGTCCTCAACTCCCTGTGAAGCGCTCCTTGCTCTTCTGAAATCTGAGACCTGCTTCTCCCTTGACCTGTCGCCTCCTATACACCACGCTGCCTGTGCCTTTGGAATGTCCATGGACCCGTCATGCCTGAGTGGATTCCCCACGCGTGTATATTACACTTTGTTTTGTTTTTGTTTTTTAAATATATTTTATTGATTTTTTACAGAGAGGAAGGGAGAGGGATAGAGAGTTAGAAACATGGATGAGAGAGAAACATCGATCAGCTGCCTCCTGCACACTCCCTACTGGGGATGTGCCCGCAACCGGAATCGAACCTGGGACCCTTGAGTCCGCAGGCTGATGCTCTATCCACTGAGCCACACAGGTTAGTGCATATACTACACTTTGATTTCCTCCTGTTACTGTGTCTGTGAATGTGGTCGGTGTCCCGGCCAGAACTCAGAAGGTGGGAGGAGGATCGCTGATGTTTTAGCTCCCACACGGGTGAGAGGACGGGTTTCTTCCAGCTCCAGCTCCGGGGAGCGAAGAAGCCAGAGGAGCGGGACGGCTGTGCGGCGTGTGGAGCACGAGGGCCGCGGAGGCTCCTGCCCTCCCTCCTCGGCCGGGGACAGCTCCGGTCTGTGCTCCAGTCCATGGGGACTGACACGTCATACACGCAGCAAACACGGTCACTAGAAAGGCTAGATGAGACGCTTTAAAACGCAGAACCCAGCCCTAGCTGGTGTGGCTCAGTGGATAGAGCATCGGCCTGCAGACTGAAGGGTCCCGGGTTCGAATCCAGTCAGGGCACATGCCTGGGTTGTGGGCTCAATCCCCAGTGTGGGGCGTTCGGGAGGCAGCCAATCGATGATTCTCTCTCATCATTGATGTCTCTCTCTCCCTCTCCCTTCCTCCCTGAAATCAATAAAAGAATACATTTAAAACAAAACAAAAAACAACGCAGAGCCCAGGGCATCGACCAAGCGGGCGCCGTCCGAGCTCCACAGGCCTTTCTAACGCTGGGCCCTTCCCTGCTGGGGCCCAGGAGGAGCCCACGCCCTCCCGTCTGCCTCTGCGGTGGGATCCACTAGAAACACCCCGTACCCTCGATAGCAGGCGCCCGGGCAGCCCCACAGCGAGGATGTCCCGCAGCCACCGTTTCGGGGGGGGGTGCTCCTTTCCTGTTCTCATTTCCCGTTTCCCAAGCCCCACAAGGAGCGTCTATTTCTGTAAGGACTACAAGCCCGGGAGCCAGGACTCCGGCCTCAGCTGAGGAGCCAGAGGCCAGGGCGGCGCTCGCTGCTGAGGACGATGCTACACTCGCTGGGTGCCACTCCTGCAGAGGCTGGGCAGCTCTAACGGCCTCTCTCCGGAAGCCAGTGGCCACTCGCTGCCCTGAGCCCTGAAACTCACCCGCACCCAGGAGCACACACCTGGCACAGGGTCACCTTTGGGGCCGGGGGGGGGGGGCCGCGGGGGGGAAGCGGGATGGAGTCCAAAGGACACAGAGACACCAGCCCGCGCTCTCTGCTGGCCCTGTACCTGCGTGGGGGCCAGGCTTCGTCTTGGAGGCCGCGGGGACAGCAGGGAAGAGGCCCGAGGACTTTGACGGCTGATGGGGTGCAGGGGGCGTCTGGCTCTCATCCCAACGTGCTGGGGAGTGGGGCTGGGGCTTCTCCGTTGCCTGCAGGGGGGAGTCACACAGCAGGGCAGGGTGTGGGGAGGATCAAACATCAGGGTCACGTTGAGATGAACCCAAGCACTGCTTCAACGCCGACTGTGTGCCAGTCTGCTCTAGGTGCACGGGGTCTAGTGACCATACACCCTAAAGAAGGGCTGCCTGTCCCCACGTGTCCCCTTCTCAACACCGCCCCTCCGCGTGGATGGGCTCCCATCTAACCCACTGCGATGGTTCACATTTAAATCCACAGGCTGAGCCCGGCCGGCATGGCTCGGTGGTTGAGCATCGACCTCTGAACCAGGAGGTCACGGTTCGATTCCCAGTCAGGGCACAGGCCCGGTTGTGGGCTCGATCCCCAGTGGGGGGCGTGCAGGAGGCAGCGGTGCAGGGACCTGGCTCTCTCCTCCCCTTGTGCCCAGGGCCCATCCACCATGACCCTGCTGGTGCCACCTGCCCTCTCTGCTGTCCGCCTCGACCCCTGGGACAGGATGCGAGACCCTTGTCCACCCACCGGCCGCACGCCTGGGCTGAGGCGAGGGGACCGCCTGCTCCGGGCCTTCCTCTCCAAGGAGCCCTTCCGGCCGGGGCTGGCGCGGGGCCGCCTGCTGCCTGCTGGGCTCGCGTCCCTGGAGTCCGGAAGGTGGAGCGAGGAGCGGCCACTGCCGCCCTCCCGGTCCTGGGCCTGGCAGCGCCGGGAGGCCGCGACGAGGGCGATGCTCTTGGTGCTCGCGGCCACCTCCGTGAGGTCCAGGCCGGCCAGGGAGCTCAGCCTGGAGGCCACGGCCTTCGCCCTTGGAGTGCCAGGCCGCTGAGGGGACACCAGTGGGGTCAGGCCGGGAAGCACAGGGGCCTGGCCCAGGGCAGCCGTTCTCGGGGGGGGGTGGGGGGGGGGAGGACTGCTTTGGGGAGACAGGGCCCGGAAGCACGTGAGAAGCCGGGCCTGAGCGTCCTGTGAGGCCAGTGCTTGGGCCTCAGGTCGCGGGCTCAAGGGCGGAGGGGCCATGGCTCCTACACCAGCTCCCAGAGCCACGGAGGGGCGTCCCCAGGACCTGATCCGAGCACCCGCACAGCCCGAGTCCCGGAGCAGGGGCCCCGGGGGGTGGGGGGCTCCCAGAGGCCAGGGGCCGTCTCCGCACGGTCATCCCGCCGCTGACAGCCATCTTGGCGGCTGCGTAAAGAGGGTCCCCTTCCGGAAGCTTCCCTGCTGCTCGCCCCAGCCCAGCGCAGCTCTGATGGGCCCCGTGACCCGCACACCCACCTCGTGCGCTGGCGGCGTGAGCAGGATGCGGAGGGGCGGCGGGGCGAGGGCAGCCTGCCTCCCCCACTGTTTTGAGGGAGTGGCTTTCGACACCTTGAAACCATGGCTGCGAGGAAACACAGGGGCCCCTCAGGCTCCACCTGTTGCCCCAGAGGAAGCTCGAACCCGCGCTGCGGCCCCGGTCAGGCCCCGCGGACACGCTGCCTCCGAGGGGACCCGCCAAGTGCGCCAGCGACCGGCAGGCAGGACACTCGCTCGGAAGGAGGCCGGAGGCCGGCGGTTGGGGGCCTTCGAGGGACAGACTCGCCGGGAGGCGGCCCCTGAACACGCTGGCCCTCCCGGCCCTGGCACCGCCTTCTCCCGAGACCGTGGGACCCGCGGTTCTCAACCTGTGGGTCGCGACCCCTCTGGCGGTCGAACGACCCTTTCACAGGGGTCGCCTAAGACCCTCCTGCATGTCAGATATTTACATGACGATTCCTAACAGGAGCAACATGACAGTTATGAAGCAGCAACGGAAATCATGTTATGGTTGGGTCACATGAGGAGCTGTATTTAAAGGGCCAGAAGGTTGAGAACTGCTGCCCTGGGACTGTCTGGGGGACAGGACGTCCTGCTGCGCCGAGGAGGGATGGCAGCAGGTGGTGTCGGGAAGGGGGCCGCTCACCCCAAAGACCAGCACGTTAGAGGCAGGACTTGGGGCTGCCCCATCCCAGGAGGGCAGATGTGGCCAGTGATGTGATAATTGTGCTGCGTGATGAAACCCCAATAAAACCTGGACAAGGAGGGGGGGAGCTTTCTGGGGGGGACACGGGGGTGTCCAGGAGGCTGCCTGCCCAACCCGGGGGGTGGGGAGTCTGTCCCGGCCTCCAGGCCTCCAGGCCTCCAATTCCCGCAGCCTCCCCTGGATCCAAGGGCAGGCGATGCGCGGCCGGAAGCAGAGCCCGCTCACCTGTCCGTCTCCAGCAGCATCTGCGGCAGCTCAAAAGGGGCTGGTCTCCTGTCGGCCTGGTCTCCGGGGGCCTCCTCTGAGGGTGGAGATGTGCTCCCCACAGAGCCATCCTGCGGGCAGACAGAGGAGGGAGCTCGGGGAGGCATCCGCAGGGCGCAGCCAGCCAGTGTATCCTGAGGCCCCGAGGGCGGGGAGGTGCCCTCCTGCCGCCGCCCAGCAGCTCTCCTCCTCGGAGGCCCTGGCACAGACAGAAAGGGGGCCTCTGCCAGGAGCGAGGGCCGGGCCTCGGGGGGCCTTGACCCTGGAGCAAAAACGGGCACAGAGTTGGCCAGTGGGGCTCGTTGGCTGGGCGTCGCCCCAGGAACCAGGAGGTTCGGTTCCCGGTCAGGGCACAGGCCTGGGCTGGGGCTCGATCCCCAATGGGGGGCGTGCAGGAGGCAGCCGGTCCATGATTCCCTCTCCCTCCCCCTCTTTCTAAAAGTCAATAAAAACATATTTAAAAAACAGGCACGGGGCGATGCTGGCTGAAGTCAGGGGGTTCTCCTCTATTTCCCCAGAAGGCAAAGCAGAGGGTCTGTGGGCTGGGGGACCAGGCCTAGCCGCGGCGTGGGCAGAGCTTGTGACGACCGTGTTGGTCTCAATAAGGAACTCAGAGCCCACCCCCCTAAACCCCTCCCCAAGGGCATCCCCATCCCTACCCCCACCTCCCTCCTTAAGGTGTCCCCAGAACGGGCAGTAGACACGGGGCCTGGAGCACCCCCTGGGCACCCCCAAGCCCAGAGGAGAGCCTGAGACCCGAGGGCTTGCTGCGGCCCCAGAAGATGCCCTGGCCCAGGCTTCCTTCCTGCCGGCCGTTACCTCTAGCAGTGGCCCAGGTTGCAGACCTGCCCGTGAACATCACACCCCGGAGCCCTGAGTCCCCCGAGTCGCTCCCCCACACCGGCCGGAACCGGAACTGCTAGGTGCGTCTGGCCAGAGGCGGCCCGTTCCTGGGTCCCCAAGTTTCCTCTTCCCACCTCCAGGGCCAGTGTCCCAGGCTAAGCCCAGGCTAAGCCCAGGCGGGCGGGAGGGGACACGCCGACCAGAGCTGACCCAGGCCGACCCCCCAGCGCCCGGACTCACGGGCAGGGAGCTGGCCGCGGCCGTGGCCGAGTGCAGCAGCAGCAGGCGGTCCAGCGAGCCCCCGCCCAGCTCCCGCGCGTACAGGCCGTAGCGCTCGTCCAGCGCCGCGGGCACGGGGAGGCCGGCGTCTGCGGGAGGAGGGAGAGCCGTCAGGGCACGCCGCCCGGTCCAGAGCGGGGCGCGGGCGAATCCTCCCCAGGGGCCGCGTTTCTGTGACTTCCTCTCTGCTCCGTCCGCTGCTTGGAAATGTCCTGCTGGTTCACGGCCCGCCTTTCATCATAAAGTAACACGGGGACTTCCAAGAGTGAGTAACGGGCAGGTTAGAACTCAAGGGCCTGGCTGGGGTGGGTCCGTGGCTAGAGCATTGGCAGGAGAATGGTCTCGGGGTGATTCTGGTCAAGGGCACGCGCTTGGGTGCAGGTTCCCCGCCCGGTGGGGATGTGTGTGGGGTGCAACCAATTGACGTGTCTCTCTCACACCCGTGCTTCTCTCTCTCCCCCTCCTTCCCTTCCACTCTCTCTAAAATCAATGGACAGCCCGGCCTGCATGGCTCCGTGGTTGAGCGTCGACCTATGAACCAGAAGGTCAGGGTTTGATTCCCGGTCGGGGCACCTGCCCGGGTTGCGGGCTCGATCCCCAGTGCGGGGCGTGCAGGAGGCAGCTGAGCAGTAACTCTCATCATTGATGCTTCTCTCTCTCTCTCCCTCTCCCTTCCTCCCTGAAATCAATAAAAATATATTTAAAAAATAAAATCAATGGGGAAAAAATCCTCTGGTGAAGAGTAACAGCAACAACGAAAAGGAAGCTGAATGCCGAAGCCGGTTTGGCTCAGTGGATAGAGCGTCGGCCTGCAGACTGAAGGGTCCCAGGTTCGATTCCGGTCAGGGGCATGTACCTGGGTTGCGGGCATATCCCCAGCGGGGGATGTGCAGGAGGCAGCTGATCGATGTTTCTCTCTCATCGATGTTTCTAGCTCTCTGTCTCTCTCCCTTCCTCTCTGTGAAAAACCAATAAAATATATTTAAAAAAAAAAAAAAAAGGAAGCCGAAGAGCCCGTCCTAGGTGTGCGGCCAAAGGAGCAACAGGTGGTCGGGCAGCTCAGGCGCGAGGCTCGCAGCAGCGTGAACACCCGGTGCCCCGAGGCGGACGCACTGAGGCGTGAAGGAAGGTGCTGACCGGGCGGCGGGCGCACTGGCCTGCACGCTGCGGAGGAGTGAAGGGTCAGGCGGCGGGAGCCTGGGCGGCACAAAACCTAAACGGTCCCAGCAGATGGCGCAACAAATCGTGTGCATCTCGGCAGAGGGCACCGACCTCGCACATTAGCCTCGCGCGCACAGCGACACCTGGGGTGCACGGTGCGGGGCGCATGGTCCGGGGTGCACGGCGAGGGGGGAAGCAGGGCCCGGCCTCACCCTGAATGAGCTGCCGCTGGTCCCGGATGATCCGCTCGCACAGCAGCTGGTGCTGGCGGAGGCGCCCGATGAGCAGGTCCCTCTGCGCCAGCAGGTGCGCCCCGTGCAGGCGGCCGGCCTGCAGCGCTGCGTTCTCTGCCTCCAGCTCCTGCGCGCGGCACAGAAGCCGCTCCTCCAGCCGCGCCTGCGGGGACCAAGGTCTGTGCCGCCCCACCCGCCCGCTCCCCCCACGGACCCCGCCCACATGCCCCTAATGGACCAGGTGTACAAATTGAACTCAAGAAAATAGGCAGCGGCAGGTGTGGCTCAGCGGTTGAAGGTCGACCCATGAACCAAGAGGTTCGATCCCGGTCAGGGCACATGCCAGGTTGCAGCTCGATCCCCAGTAGGGGGCGTGCAGGAGGCAGCCGGTCCATGATTCTCTCATCATTGATGTTTCTCTCTCTACCCTCTCTCTTCCTCTCTCTCTAAAATAAATAAATAAATAAATACACATTTTTAAAAAGGAAACGGGCCAGTGATGGGCTCTGAGGATGTGTGGCCTCCCCCTGCGTTAACCGAGTCTCTATTCTCTGTGATCCGGTGCCCTGACCTCTGGGGCCCTGCTCACCTGCAGGGCTGGCCTCCCAGGGCCGGCCGAGTCCCGGAGGCGGAAAACCACTCGCCCAGGAGCACACCTGTCAGGTGCAAACCCAGCCCAGAGCCCACCACGCCCTGCATGGGGCTCTCACACTGCGGCTCTGGCCCCCGCCCTCGCCACCCAGGCCCGGGTACCAGACAGCTCATCTCCAACTTGCCGCAGGCAGATGCCAAGATATTAAGAGGGCCTTGGGCTCTGGCCGGCTTGGCCCAGTGGATAGAGCGTCAGCCTGCAGACTGGAGGGTCCCAGGTTCAATTCCGGCCAAGGGCACAGGCCTGGGTTGCGGGCTCGATCCCCAGTGGGGGGCGTGCAGGAGGCAGCTGATCAGTGATTCTCTCTCATCAGTGATGTTTCTATCTCTCTCTCCTTCTCCCTCTCTGAAATGAATAAAGAAATATACATATTTTTTAAAAGTTATGAATAATTTTAAAAAAAAGAGGGCCTTGGTTTGGTGACAGTTTTTAAGTGAAGTAAATGCCACCTGCTTGTAGCGACAGGACATCATCAGACTCGGCCACTAGCCTGAAAACACCCCTGCGCCCATTCACCTCGGGGCGGGACACAGCCAGCTGCCCGCACTTCCCCCAGGTCCCCGCTGCATAAACAGCTCAGATAAACCGCTCGCTCTTGCCCGGCCGGCCTGGCTCCGTGGCTGAGCATCAGCCTAGGAACCAGGAGCTCAGAGTTCCATTCTGGGTGGCGGGCTCGATCCCCAGTAGGGGGCGTGCAGGAGGCAGCTGGTCCATGGTTCTCTCATCATTGATGTTTCTCCCTCTCCCTTCCTCTCTGACATCAATAATATACTTACAAATAAATAAATAAATAAATAAACAACTCGCTCTTCCCAGGAAACAGCCTGGGAGAAGACTCACTCTCCAGAGAGGTTCCGAGAGCCGGGCTTCCCGGGCCGCGTCCCTGGCCTCTCTCCGCCGGCCGAAGCCCCTCCCAGGAGCCGCCGAGGCCCTGCCGCCCCGGGAGGAGCCGGTGTCGTCCTCAGACCGGCAGCAGGGCTCTCGGTGGACTCCACGCGGCCTCCCGCCCTGCACGCGGGCCCTGCCACCCGGTGTGGCCGTCGCTAACATGCAGGGACATGGGTTTGCAGCCAGCCCAGCTCTGCTCCTGCCCTGGGGACCGGGACCGGCTCTCTGACCGCCGAGCCGGCTTTCCCGCCCGCAGAGCCAGCGCCGGTGCACGAGCAGCGATCCATGTCGTGACTCGGCCCAGGTGGCGCCCGGGCTGCCGGCCACTCCCCACCTGCAGGGCCACGGCTCCCCGCTGTGCGGCCAGCAGCAGGGAGACCTCCTCTCCGGCCAGCGCTCCCTCGTGGGGCTCTGCGGACTCGCCCTCGTCCCCGGCTGCGTCGGCCACCGCCTGCTGCTCGTGCCCCGCAGGTACCTCGTCCTGGGCGTGGTGGGGGGTCTTCTCCCGCTCCCAGCTGCAGCCATGACAGGGGCGGGGTCAGAGCCCTGTGGGCGCCGCTGGCTAGGCACAGGGAGGCCACGGAAAGGGGCAGGGCCGGGTCTGCTGTCTGACAAAAACTGGAAAAAGTAAAGAGGTGAAGGGCCCGGCCGGTGTGGCTCCACCTGTGGACCAGGAGGTCGCCGTTCGATTCCCGGTCGGCGCACATGCCCGGGCTTCAGGCTCCATCCCCAGTAGGGCGAGTGCAGGAGCCGATCCATGATTCGCTCTCACTGATGTTTCTATCCCTCTCCCTCTCCCTTCCTCTCTCTCTAAGAATTAATAAAAACCGATTAAAAAGAAGAAGAAGCAGTGAATGTTTGCAGTATGATCACCGAGCAATTAAGCCAGGGACCCTGTAGCCAGCCCGCCCCTCCCTCCTGGACTCCTCTGAGGCCCGGTGAGCTCAGGGCAGAACAGAGCCTGGGCAGGTGCCGTCGCCCGTGAGGAAGGACACGGGAGCTGCGGCTGGAAAGGGGCGGGAGTTCCTCGGAAGCAGGCGCTTGCGCGGTGAAGCGAACAGACAGAGAGGAGGAGGGAGGACGGGAGAAGACACGGACGGATCGCAGCATGCAGGCGGGTGCCCGGTGGCCCGCACGTCCAGGCCACTGCGGCGATGCCGGGTGTCCCAGCGTCATTGCTAACTATGCCGCACCTCCCACGCCTGTCTGGGTGACAAAGCACAAGGCCGGTCCAGCTCGGGCAGCCTGCTCACTGCGGGTGGCGGGGAGGAAGGGTGGGCCGTCCAGAGAGCCGGCCAGTGGACAGACACTCACCCTCGGCCAGCCCCACCCCCTGAGCCTCAGCATCGCCCTCCGTCCCACGGGCTGACCCGGCCTGCAGCGCTGGCTCTGGGCTCCAGCCCGTGAAGGGGCCAGCGGGACCAGGGCGCCATCCCCACCTGCTCCAGCCTCGCTACAGGCGGGAGGGCGGGAGGGAAGAGAAGTAGCCCTCGGCTAAAGGCCCTGTGGGGACCCGCAGGCAGGGGAGGGAGGCTAGACAGTCGCAAAAAAGGAGCCCCCACCAGCAACCCCACTGGTTCTTCTTGGCCCTCTTGCCCCATCGGGAGGGTGGCGCTGGGCCCTGGGCGGCACACTCACTCTGCAATGGCCAGCAGGTGCTGGGACACGTCAGCGTGCAGCTCCATGTTGGCGTCCTCCAGCTCCACCGGGCTGCGCGCCATCTCCAGCTGCTCCTGGAAGGTCCCCGCGAGCTGGGCCCGGGTCTCGTTCATCTGCAGGCGGCTGTCCTCCTCCGGGTCCTGGGCGGGCATCGTGACTGGGGCAGCAAGAGAGCCGGCTGCACCAAGAGCGGTGCCACCTGAGCCAGGGCTGAGCTCCAGGCCTGCCCACCAAACAGGTGGAGCTCGCGCCCTGTGAGGGTGAGTGGATGGATGGGTGGATGGGTGGGTGGGTGGGTGGATGGATGGGTGGGTGGGTGGGTGGGTGGGTGAATGGATGGGTGGGTGGGTGGGTGGGTGGATGGGTGGGTGGATGGATGGATGGGTGGATGGGTGGATGGGTGGGTGAATGGATGGGTGGATGGGTGGGTGGGTGGATGGGTGGGTGGGTGGGTGGATGGGTGGGTGGATGGGTGGGTGGGTGGATGGATGGGTGGATGGGTGGATGGGTGGATGGGTGGGTGGGTGGATGGGTGGATGGGTGGGTGGGTGGGTGGGTGGATGGATGGGTGGATGGGTGGATGGATGGGTGGATGGGTGGATGGGTGGATGGGTGGATGGGTGGGTGAATGGATGGGTGGATGGGTGGATGGGTGGGTGGGTGGATGGGTGGATGGGTGGGTGGGTGGGTGGGTGGGTGGGTGGGTGGATGGATGGGTGGATGGGTGGGTGAATGGATGGGTGGGTGGGTGGGTGGGTGGATGGGTGGGTGGGTGGATGGGTGGATGGGTGGGTGGGTGGGTGGATGGATGGGTGGATGGGTGGGTGGGTGGGTGGGTGGATGGGTGGATGGATGGGTGGATGGGTGGATGGGTGGATGGGTGGGTGAATGGATGGGTGGATGGGTGGGTGGGTGGGTGGGTGGATGGGTGGGTGGGTGGGTGGGTGGATGGATGGGTGGATGGGTGGATGGGTGGGTGGGTGGATGGATGGGTGGATGGGTGGGTGAATGGATGGGTGGATGGGTGGGTGGATGGGTGGGTGGATGGGTGGGTGGGTGGATGGGTGGATGGGTGGGTGGGTGGTGGGTGGATGGATGGGTGGATGGGTGGATGGGTGGATGGGTGGATGGGTGGGTGGGTGGATGGGTGGATGGGTGGGTGGGTGGGTGGGTGGATGGATGGGTGGATGGGTGGGTGGGTGGGTGGGTGGATGGATGGGTGGATGGGTGGATGGGTGGATGGGTGGGTGAATGGATGGGTGGGTGGGTGGGTGGGTGGGTGGGTGGATGGGTGGATGGATGGATGGATGGATGGATGGATGGATGGGTGGATGGGTGGATAGGTAGATAATGAATCAATAGGAGAAAATATATGCAAACCATATATTTGCTAAGGGTTAATATCCAAAATATATAAGGAACTCATACAACTTAATAGTAAAAAACAAACAATCCAACGTGAAAAATGGGTGAAGGACCTTAAGAGAGTTTTTCAGAGAAGACGTGCAGCCTGGCCGGGCGGCTCAGGGGTAGAGCGCTGACCTATGAACCAGGAGGTCACGGTTCAATTCCACCCAGGGCACAGGCCCAGGTTGCGGGCTGGATCCCCAGTGGGGCACGCAGGAGGCAGCCGGTCCATGATTCCCTCCCATCACGGATGTTTCTCTCTCTCCCTCCCTCCCTCTCTGACATCAATAAACACATGTTTCTAAGGAAGAAGACATGCAGATCCCAGCAGGCCCGTGACAAGGCGCTCGCATCAGTAATCATCAGGGAAGGGCAACCCAAGCCCGGGAGACACGCCTCCCCTGCCCGTCAGAGTGTCTGTCATCAGGACAGGGGAGAACAAGCCCTGGCCGGGCAGGAGAGCAGGGCGCCTGTGCGAGCTGGTGGGTGAAACCGGTGCCGCCACCGTGGAAAACAGTGTGACGTTCCTTCAAGCCCGGCCCTGGTCACCGACCTCCCAGCCTCCTCCCCACCACAGGGCACCGTCTGTCCCTGAGCTCACAACCCCCCACCCCAGGGCGGCACCGTCGCTGCGGCACCAGGTCTGCGCCAGGTTCTACCTCGAGCATCCGGGATCCCGGCCTCGCTTCTCCTGTGCTCCTGCCTCTCGATCTTGGACTTGAGGTGCTCGATCTGCCTGCGCAGGTCGGAGATGACATCTGTGTCCTGATCCAGATGGCAGGACATGGTCAGCAGGTTGCGCTTGACCTGGTGGCAAGACACACCCCAGGTCAGGCCAGCAGCCCCCGAGGAAACATCTTATAGCCAGGAATGTGCGGCAGGAACATGCAGTCTTGCTACTAAAATTCAAATCAGCCCGGCTGGTGTGGCTCAATGGTGAGCATCGCCCTAGGAACCAGGAGGTCATGGTTGGGTTCCTGGTCAGGGCACAGGCCCGGGTTGCGGGCTCGGTCCCCAGTGTGGCGCGGGCAGGAGGCAGCCGATCCGTGATTCTCTCATCATGGATGTTTCTCTCTCTCTCCCGCTCCTTCTCCCTTCTTTTCTGAAATCAATAAAAATATTTGTTAAAAATTAAAATGAAATTCAAATGAGTACCACTCAGCCTTGAAGAAGGAGGTTCTCACACATCAGACGTGGGCGGCCCGGGGGGCACTGTTCTCTGCGAAGGAAATGAAGGGCCTAGAGGCGAGGACACTGGGTGAGGGGCAGGCAGCCCCGAGGCCAACGCCGGCAGCCTCACCGAGAAGAGGAGGCCCCAGGAGAGAGAACAGGAGGCTGCAGGGCCGACACGAAGCCAGTGGGTGCACCAGAGCTGAGGCCCAGGAGCCCGAAGCTCTGGGGAGCGAGAGCGTGAGGGGCGTGCACCGGGCAGGCACTCACCCGCGTCCTGATGCTCTTGGCTCTGTGCGCGTACAGCAGGGTGCTCCTCGACTCCTCGAAGGACGTGCTGGCGGGGCTGATGTGGGCGATCATCACCGTCTGGCTGTTCCCTCCCAGGGCGTCCTGCTCAGCGGGGGCACAAGCTGGGGCGGCGGGAACCGGCCCCCTGCCCAGTGGTGCTGTCTGCCCCCCACCCCCGCCAGGCCCGTGGGCACCGCCCCGAGGCTCCGGCTCCAAACCCTGAGGAGGGCAGCTCAGGGGTGACGCTCAGGGTGCGTGAGGCCTGTGCCAAGCCCACCCCGTCCGCCTTCCGCTCCGACGCGAGCAGGTTAGACTGGAAGGCGGGTCTGCAGGGACACGCCTGGCTGCACCATTTGTTTGTGTGGAGCACGCCTGCTACAGGGCAGAGGCGACAGCATCGGCTCAGCGTGGGGACCTTCTCACGCAGACTGCCCGTGACGTGACGGAGGCAGTGAGCTCCCTGTCCCTAGAGGTATGCAAGCATGGGCTGCACCATGCTGAGAGGGCGGGCAGTCAGGTCGTGACTAGAGATGGTTTCTACCATGTTTTCCTGCCTTTGGGGGTTCCTAGAAGGGTCCTTAGACCTCACTCAGGGCCTCTCTCCTGGCTGGTAAGTCCTGGAAGATGCAGTCAGCTGTGGCAGCAGGACACACATGCATACCCCCACACACATATGTGCACACATGTGCACAAACACATGAACATACACACCCATGTGTACACACGTGCATGCACACACAAATACACGAACACACGGGCACGCATACACCCATATGCACACATATAGGTGCGCACCCATGCACACATAGCATGTGAGTGCACACATACACACATGTGCACACACATGCACACACCCAGCCTGCAGCTTGTACCTTGAGCAGGCGTGTGAGCTTGCTGTCCCTGAAGTTCACGTACTGCGTGCGGCCGCCGCCCCTCTCGCTGAGCGCGTTGATGCAGTTGCCCAGCGCCAGCAGCGAGCGGTTGATGTGCGCGCCCTCCTGCATCCTTTTGCCGCGGTTCCGGGTCTGCTCGGGGAGAGGTGGGCTGGTGGGAGATGGTCTGTGCCCCACCCGCTCCCCACACCAGGCCCCGGGCCATACCCGTCCCCCGGAAGCTCGGGCCCTGCAGGCACGGACTGGACCCAAACCCGGGGCCGCGAGGCGGGTGACAGAAGCCCGCGGGCACACTGGGCAGCCGCTGGAGGGAGGGGAGCCGTGTGCGGCGCTGGCAGGTGCCCTTCAGCATCATGAATGAGGTAAGCGTGGGCAGGCGTGTCTGCAGCCATCTGATCCAGTGAAGATGCGAATGTGCATTCACGAGGCCGCCCCCTCGCGGCGCCCCCTCATCCTCCCGACATCACACAGGGCCACGGTCCCCCTGCCCTTGCTGTCCAGGACTGGGCCCCAGGACCCAGGACAGCCCTCTGTCCTCCTGCGTCTGGAATTATTCCAGCCGCAGACCCCGCCTGCTCTCCCCGGGAAGCCACGTGAAGGCTCATCAGTGCCCCCCACTCCTGAGGGCCCTGTGCTTCCCGAGGGGCCGTGGCGACGCGTGGCCCGCCCCTCCTCTCGGGACCGTTACCGTCTTTCCAACGGCTGCTGTCTTTGACCTGCTGGCTCTCCTACCTCAGGTTTCCCATGAACATGCACATTGCAATCCTAGGGTTAGGTTACAATATCTGACTCTGGCCCGACCGGCATGACTCAGTGGTTGAGCGCTGACCTATGAACCAGAAGGTCAAGGTTCAATTCCTGGTCAGTCAGGGCACGTGCTCAGGGTTGCAGGTTTGATCCCCAGTGGGGGGCGTGCAGGAGGCGGCCAAGCAATGATTCTCTCTCATCATTGATGTTTCTAAATCTCTCCCCCCTCCCTTCCTCTCTGAAATCAATAAAAACATATTTTTAAAAAATAGTCTGACTCTGGGCCAGGCCTGGCCGATTCAGGAGCCCGAGCGCCAGGGCGGGGCCAGGGCGGGGCAGGGCGGGTGAGGGAGGGAGGGGAGGGCCTCCACGGTCGGGGTCGGGTGGGCACAGGGTGGAGACTGGGATTTGGGCCGCAGCCGGGATCCAGCACTAACCCTCCGTGCTCGGCCAGGCCCCTCCCCCTGGCATGCTCTTCCGTACACTCCCCCAATGTCCTCAGGGCCCATCAGGCCCAGCCCTGAGACCCCACCACTACCACCACCCTCCTCTGAGCTCCCATGAGCTCCGCGTGGACCCCAAATCTCAAAGCACAGCCTCCCCGAGCTGCAATGGTCTGCTCACAATTGTCTCCCCGACTCCTGAGGCTCTGGGCTCCCTGCAGGCGGGTCCGGCCTCAGACGCTGGGGTTGGGGGCGGGGGAGGGGGAGACTGCCACTCAAGCCCTCCCAGTCACTCAGCCAGCGCTCAGGGGGCACCCCAGGCCTGGGAGCTGGAGGGAGGGACAGGGTCCTGCTCACAGACTGAGGGACAGTGGAGGACGGAAGGGGCGGGCGTGGGTGCAGGCGTGGAGGAGGCACCTGGGATGCCCGCTCCGAGCCCGCCAGGTCCACCAGGAACAGCCTCCCGACGCGCACGCCCTCCGCCAGGTGGTGGCCGCGGCCCTGCCGGCGCACGGAGACCTGCAGCACCGCGTGGGAGCGCGAGGACGTCCTGTTGGCGGCCGTGGGCTCCTGCGTGCGCTGCCGGTTGCCTCTGGTGAGGAGCTGCATGATCTGAGGACGGAGCCCACGTGGGGGGCGGCCGTTAGGGCCCGAGGGGCCCTGTGCTCCCTGCAGATCCACCGGGCAAGGGAAGGGGTGCCCCGAGCTCCTGGGGCACCTCGTGCTGGGGTGCTGATGCAGCACCTCGTCAAGGGGAAACGATATCTGGTTTGCGGGTGAAGTGACTGATTCACGGAGAAATGGCAGGTGGCTGGGGCACGCACGGCCCCTCACCATCTTCTGCCTGTGGCAGACATCACCAGTGGATTACCCGTCTCTTCGCACAGAGCCGGGGCAGCCAGAACCCTTCTCAATGCGGATCTCAGGCCCCGACGGGGCGGCAGGTGGGCAAACCCTCCTGCGAGCAAGCAGCTGTGGAGACCACGCCCAGGGGGCTCTGCTCAGCCCTACTGTGCGCACACGTGCTGGGACTGCAGAGCAGGGTGAAGGAAGACGGCACAGTGCTTGTGGCCGAATGGGCAAGAAGCCCGGCATCTACCTGCAGACCCTCCCCGACCTCTCCCCGCCCGAGCCCACAGGGCTGGAGCACGGGCATGGGGCGGGCTGAGCCCTTGAAGGTTCCTGGGCGGTGGGAGCCCACCCCGAGGGCAGTGCTGTGAGGGTGGCACTGGGGAGCCTGGGGGCAGAGAGCAGGGGCAGGGCTGCAGCGATGCCCACACTCGCCCTCGCTAAGGAGCCACCTCAGGGTGGGGAGGGCACCCAGGGTCACTGAGGCCGCCTGCGTAACTGCAACCGCTAAGGGGGGGCGCTGAAGAGGGGCATCTGAGCAGGGAGGGGGGACCTGCAGAGGTGGGGCTGAGCCAGGGCGTACGGGGGAGCCTGCCGGGAGCGCAGGCCAGAGGGCGGGGAGGTGCAGGTGCTGCCCAGCCCCGGGCTGAGGAGCGACGCTGGGCCGTGTGCCCGGCTCTGCTGCGAACCTGAGGAGAAGGGCCTCCTGGCCTCTCGGAGCGTGGCGCCTGGCCCTCACCTCCTGGGCATTCGAGGTGGAGACCTCCGTGATGCCCGCGATCTGGATGCTGCCCCTGGCGTCCTCCCTCAGCTCCAGGAGCCCCGAGGACGGGTTCAGCAGGTCCCGGATCACCTCGTTGTAGATCTGGGCGAGACAGCAGCCGGAGAAGCAGAGGGCAGGGCTCGCGTCGCTGGGCTCTGCGCCCACCAGAACCTGCTGCTCGGAGGCGGAGGTTTGCCAAGGGCCTTCGGGGTAACGCGCCCGCCTGGCAGGTCAGGCGCCTGAGGCAGGTGGCGGGCTCACCTCCAGGTAAGACATGGACACGCTGGAGTCCACGCTGTCCCGGGTCCGCTCGATGGCCCGGAAGAGGTCGGCGAGGGTCTGCAGGTAGATGCCGGGCTCCGCGTCCATGCCCAGCATCGTGTGGGTCTTCCCGGCCCCTGCAGGCACCACACCCACCGGCCCTGAGTGGGCGCAGACCCCGCCGGGCACCTGCCCAGAGACTATGCCCGCGCCGCCTCGATCGCGCAAACCCTCCCGCTGCTGACATCTCGCTTCCTATTCTGGTAACAAGGGTAAAACTGTCAGTCCGAACCGGCCAGCAGTGCTCAGGTTTTGAGCGTTGACCTATGAACCAGGAGGTCACAGTTTGATTCCCTGTCAGGTTTCTGGGCTCTGTCCCCAGTGGGGGGCATGCAGGAGGCAGCCGGTCCATGATTCTCTCTCATCATTGATGTTTCTGTCTCTCTCTCCCTTTCCCTTCCTCTCTGACATCAATAAAAATATATTTTTTAAACCCACAACACCCTCATCCATCTATCCATCCATCCACCCATTCATCCGTCCATCGGTCCCGCTGCCTGCAGAGGAACCCAGGGTGAAGGAGGTGGTGCGGCCGGAGGGACAGGGGTCTCTCTCTCCTCTCCGAGGTGTCTGGGCCATGTTGTAACCGAATGGCCGCATCACTTTTTAAGAAGTCTCTTCATGGGGCCCCCCGCCCCTCCCCCGCCCACTGACAGGCAAGGACCAGGCTGCTCTTCCCCTTCACTGGCGCCTGGCACACAGTAGGTGCTGGTGACCTTTGTTGAACGGATGAGGGCTAGCCAAGCTGTGGCTGTGGCTGTGGCTGTGGCTGTGGCTGTGGCCAGGCCCTGCTCAGGGCCTCAGTTTCCCCATCTGCACAGGAGGGGCTAGGCCTGACTGCACTGACCGTGGCGCAGAACCGCGGGGAGAAGGCTGCGTGCTGGGGAAGCCACTGTCCCTCTCTGAGGCTCCATGTCCGTCTGTGAGAGGGACCTCCCCTGCCTGTCGAGGCTGCTGTGCCAGGAGCCGGGGCCCAGAGGCCAGTGGGGCGCCGCACCTGGCAGGTGCTTGGGCTGCTAGGGAGCCCGCACCACCAGCCCCCCCTCCAGACACGCCCGGTACCTGAGGGGCCGTAGGCGAACACCGTGGCGTTGTATCCGGAGACGACGCTGTCCACCAGGCGCTGGGTGGTGGCACGATACACGTCCCCCTGCAGACAGACGGAAGGACACCACCGCCCAGTGGACAGCAGCTGGAGGCAGCCTGCGATGTCCATGCCGTGGGGACATGGACAGGGCCCCACAGGGGAGGGCAGTCCAGGCACAGCGGGCGTGGGCATGGCTGGGCTCCACCCTGGATGCGCCGTAACTGCCCCACCTGAGGCCTCACCTGCGCCGGCCCCGCCTCACAGTGTGGACAAGGCGGACCCGCAGGGAGGCTGTGGAGGGGACACTCCACCCTGAGCCTGGCCCCCGTCATACCACACTCCTGTGAGTCCTTTCCAGGGCTTCTGAGAAAACTGGGAGGAATCGGGGGGAACGCAAAGGGCTGGGGCAGCCACGGGGCTGGGCGTCTGGGGGGAGCGTGTGACCCTCTTTATGGGACAAAACTGGGACCAGGGAGTGGAAGTCTCCACCGGCAATTTAAGGTGAGGCGGCAGTACAGCGATGGGAGTGTGCAGTAGTGAGCTCCCTGTCCCTAGGGGCATTCAAGAAAGGACTCCTCCAGGGACCCAGTGGGACAGGATGCAGGAAGGAAAGAGGTGGACTGAGATGGCTGGAAATTCCCTGCCCCCCCAAATGTGCGTCTAATCCCCTTTCCCCAAGTCTGGGCCAGGGAAGCGGGCAGAGGGATGCCATGCCTGGGGTGGCTGAGCCTTTTTGACGCCTGGCAGCTCCCCCCTCACCCCCCTGGAGCTCAGGGCTGCCATGTGTGAGGAGGCCCAGGCCACAGAGGGAGGCCACAGGTGGCTGCTGCAGGTGACAGCCCCCACGGACGCCCGCAGCACCAGTCCACTGACAGCCCCGCGGGTGGGCCATGGGGACGCGGGCATGGTCGGGCCTTCGGGTGCCTGAAGTCCTTCCCCATTATGACTAAAGCCGCCCAGGACTGATGGAAACTGCCAGCTGCAGTGGAGAAGGGCGGGGAGGGGGGCGGGGGGCGCGGGTAGGGCTGGGTCATGGAAGGTGAAGGTGGTGCAGATGGAAGGTCCCCTGGGTGCAGGGCTGGGCCCAGCATCCCAACTTCTTCGCCTGCTGGGGGGACGTTCCCACCTCAGGAGGCCGGGGTTCAGATCCGCTCTGCAGGGCTCGGGAGTGAGCGTCCTTCACTCTGTCACACCGCTCTGAGCCCGGGGACCCTCTGGTGTGGGTGACAAGGCCCCTCTCACGGCAAGGGCCAGGTGAGGTGCTGGTGAGGACGACCTGACCTGGCCTCAGGCTCCTGTCTGTGGGCTGGGGACTCGAAGCCTCAGCCTGGACCCTGCCCGCCTCTGCTCTCACAGTGGGCTCCTTCTTCCGGTCTCAGCTGAAAGTCCCCCCGAAAAGGCCTCCGCTCGCTGCCACCACTGCACCAGTACCAGTGGGTTTGTTTCTATTGCTCACTGTGCCGCCCCTCCTGGGACAGGAGCCCTGTGCAGGGAGTGTGTTCTAGACACATGGCAGCCAGACACCCCTGTGCTAGATGGATGGACGGATGGATAGGTGAATGAATGGACAGATGAATAGACAATGGATGGATAGATGGATGGATGGGAAAATGGGGGATGGATGGGGGATGGAATGATGGATAGGTTTGTGGGTGGATGGATATGGATATGTGGATGAATGAGTGGATGGATGGATGCATGAATGGGTAGATGGATGGGTGGATGGATGGATAGGTAAATGGATGGATGGATGGGTGGAAGGTGGATGGATGAATGGATGGATGGATAGATGGGTGGTGGATGGATGAATGATGGATGGATGGGTAGTGGATGGATGAATGGGTGGCTGGATGGATAGATGGATGGCTGGATGGATAGATGGATGGTGGATGGATGGATAGGTGGATGGATGTATGGATGGATAGATGGATGGGTGGATGAATGGATAGATGGATGGGTGGATGGATGGACGGATGGATGGATGATGAATGGATGGATGGGTGGTGAATGGATGGGTGGGTGGGCAGATGGATGGATGGATGGATGGATGAGATGTGTAAACCCTGCTAACCTCCTTGATCATCAGGGAAACCCCTGTGATGAGCGATGGATGAGACCATCTGGCCACACAGTCCTCCCCAGGGGACGTCAGGGCTTGGTGAGGACAGTCAGGACAGCCTGGCCCAGAGGGACTAAGGGGCAGTGGGCAGAAGGTACCTGCGATGCGTGCTGGTCGAAGACGGTGTCAAAGATGAAGGTCTTCTCCCGGGACCGGTGTGTGCGCAGCGTGTCCTCGGGGTCCTCGCCCGGATCCATGAGCACCACCATCTAGAAGCAGGGGCGGAGCGTCAGTGGGGCTGGGGGGCGCCCAGGGAACCAGGTGGGAAGGCTCCGCAGGATGGGAGGGCTTCGTGAACTGTAAGGTGTTGAGCCAGCGTCTGGCTCCTGCGTTCCCCTGCGTGACCCCAGCACGTTCACTCCCCCGGGCCTCCCTCTTCTTGCCGGGGGCTGAGCTACCCCAGCGAAGGGGAGGACGGAGGCGGGGGCGCACAGGTACCTGGGGAAGGACCCGCCTGAGCTCTGCAGTTCTTGCTTTCTCTGAGGCCCGGCCGACCCTCCTGGCCCGTCCTATCTCACATGGAAGCGTAATTATGGAGGAGGGTGTGAGGACGTCTGGGGGCCATGGGAGGTTCAGAGGCACCTTTCCCAAGGGGTTGGGGGGCAGGGCAATTAGAGACCAGTCAGCTCTGTTTACTCAGAGCTGGAGGGCGCTGGGGAGGAGCCACAGTGTTAGGGACACACGGGCCACGTGGCCACCCACCTCCCTGCCCTGGCCCTTGGTGCTTGGCTTTGGAAACAGGTCCCGGGGGGGAGGGCTGCCCAGAGGTTCAGGGGGCAGGGGGAACAGGCAGAGCAGCCCCAGGAGCCTGGCTTCGGCCAGCACTTCTCCCAGGACATAAGGCAACTCTCTCTCCTTCTAGTGAGGGTCCAAGGCAGCGATCTTCGACCTTTGTCATCTCAGCACATAAGCTAATTACTCAAATTCTGCGCACACCAAAAAATGTATTAATTTTTTGCTGATCTAATAAAAAAAATAGGTATAATTTAAATCAATTTACAAATAATAATTACCTGCCCTTTTTGCTCCAAAGTGACTTTTTAAAAAACCAGGTGCCAATCCCTAGCTGGTTTGGCTCAGTGGATAGAGCATCGGCGTGCAGACCAAAGGGACCTGGGTTCGATTCTAGTCAATGGCACCGAACTTGGTTGGGTTGCCAGCTCCTCCCTGGCCTGGGCCCTTGTCAGAGCGAATGCGGGAGGCAACCAATCGATGTGTTTCTCTTACATCAGTATTTTGCTCTATCTTTCCCTCTCTCTTCCACTCTCTCTATAAGTCGATGGAAAAATATCCTTGAGTAAGGGTTTAAAAAGAAAGAAAGAAAACAACAAAAAACAGGTGCCCATACTCATCTATAAGGATTTCTGGTACCAAGAGTTAACCAATCAAACACAACCTTGTTATGCGACATAACCAATAAGATGCAACTCTACAATGTGACCTATACATTCATGGCTCAGGACAGGGCATTCACACCCACGGCTGTAGTTGTGCTGGCCGCTGTCACTTTTTATTTGACAGTCTAAGGCAGTGGTTCTCAACCTGTGGGTCGCGACCCCTTTGGTGGTCGAACGACGCTTTCACAGGGGTCCCTAAGACCATCCTGCATGTCAGATGTTTACATGACGATTCCTCACAGTAGCAACATGACAGTGATGAAGTAGCAACGAAAATAATGTTATGGTTGGGTCACCACATGAGGAGCTGTATTTAAAGGGCCAGAAGGTTGAGAACCACTGGAAGGGAAAAGAGCGCAGTGCCCTGACTAAAGCGTCGGGTGCTGCCTGTTTTATAAATCCCTGCGGCACCGGTTGAAGTCGCTGGTCTAAGGCGGGAGGACCCGGGCCGCTCCCACTGCACCTGCTGGCTGGCCGGGCCTGCGCTGGAGGGCCCTGGCCCGGTCCCTGCGGGGCTCCAGCCCAGCCCGGGGAGTGGGCCTGGCGGGGAAGGACTCCACACGGAAACACTGGTGTGGAGGGGCATTCGGCCGGTTCACTCTGAAACGTGCCCTAAAGGGAGTCTGTGATCAGGGAGCGAGAGGGACGCGAAAACGGAGGACGTTGCTGCCTGGGAGCCTGGGCTCAGAGGACCTGGACCCTCCGCAGGCCCTCCAGGGGCTCCGAAGGCCTTCGAGTAGCCTGACGTCACTTCAGAACAAGAAGCTAAGCTGGGCCGGCTCGATTGGTTACTTAGAGCAGCATCCCAATAGGCCAAGGTTGCAGGTTCGATCCCTGGTCAGGGCACGCGTGCATACGTGAACAAGTAGATGTTCTGCTCTCACGTCAAATTTAAAAACAGAATAAAAGTAAAAGAAAATGCTACAACATGGACGAACCTCAGAAACACGCTCAGTGCGGGAAACCAGCCGCAAACGGACCCCTTCCCCTGCTCCCGGTGCGATTCCACTGGGTGAGTCGTCCACTCGGGCAAATCCAGAGACAGGGGCCCGGTCACTGGGGCTGGGACAGGGACGGGGGCGCTGCTTAGGGCAGTGATGGCGAACCTATGACACGCGTGTCAGAGGTGACACGCGAACTCATTTTTTTGGTTGATTTTTCTTTGTTAAATGGCATTTAAATATATAAAATAAATATCAAAAATGTAAATCTTTGTTTTACTGTGGTTGCAAATATCAAAAAAATTTCTATCTGTGACACAGCACCCGAGTAAAGTTAGGGTTTTTCAAAATGCTGACACGCCGACCTCAAAAGGTTCCCCATCACTGGCTTAGGGCGTGTGGGTTTCCTTTTGGGGTGAAAATGCTTTGGAACTAGACGGAGGTGGGTGCACACAGTGTGACTGTGCTAAATGCCACTGAACTCTTCACTTTAAAATCGTGAATTCTTAGCCTGATTGGCGTGGCTCAATGGCTGAGGGTTGACCTTTGAACGAGGAGGTCACAGTTCGATTCCCAGTCGGGGCACATGCCAGGGTTGGGGTATTGATCCCCAGTGTGGGGTGTGCAGTAGGCAGCTGATCCATGATTCTCTCTCATCATTGATGCTTCTATCTCCCTCTCCCTTCCTCTATGACATCAATAAGAATATATTTAAAATAAATAAATAAACAATGAAGCCGCCTTTCTAACAACAAACGGCCAATCCGGTCACTTGGCAAGCTCCCCCTCAGCTGTGGCGTTCCTTCTGCAAGTGACCACCTGCTCTCCTGCGCCATGAGCGCCCGACTCCAGCCCGAGTCCGGGGAGCAGGAACCCTTGGCCACACAGCAGGTGAGGTGCCCATCCCTGTCCCGGGCCTAGGACAGTGCTCAGCCAATGAGACTGGCTCCAGCGGAGGGTGGGGGGGCCTGCCCCGCCCTCTCCCACACACCACTGAGCCCCCAGGCTCCCGGGCCTTTCATGACCCCCATCGACCCCCACGGCTCTGAGCTCTGACATCACACACTCATCTGTTCCCAGTCTGACCCCCACACGAAGGGGAGCTGGCGGGGGGCCCTTGTTGCCCCTATGGCTCTGCCTCGACGTCCCCGGTGAGCATGACATAGACATTTTTTTTTTTTTTCTTTTGAGAGGAAGGGAGAGGGAGAGATAGAAACATCAAGATGAGAGAGAATCACCGATTGGCTGCCTCCTGCACATTCCACACTGGGAACTGAGCCCACAACCTGGGCATGTGCCCTGACCGGCAATCAAACCATGACCTCCTGGTTCATAGGTCGACACTCAACCACTGAGCCACGCCGGCCGGGCTAGACATTTCTTCAATGAGCGAACGAGTGAGTGAAAGGGTGAGTGAGTGAATGGGTGAGTGAGTGAGTGAACAGTTCATGGACGAGTAACCAGTGTACAGATGGGCATCAATCACCGAATGAGTGTGAATGAGCGATTGTCCCAGCGGAAGTGGCACGCCCGGGAGGGTGAGCCTCATGCCTGTGGACACCCTCTGTGGCCCTCAGCCTCACCTGGTCACCCACTTTGTGGGCGATGACGCTGGCTCCCTCCTCCTGTTCTGTGTCATTGAGCGGGCGGATCCGAAGCACTACCTGTGGGCGGGACACTGTGCAGCTGCGTCCGGGGCCTCGTTCCCCCTCTTGGCCCTTCCTTGCCGCCCCACCAGCGCTTCCCACTCCTAGGGGAGCAGGTAAGACCAGCGAGCGAACCCCAAGCCCCTCCAGGCATAGCTTTTTAAAAACATATTTTTATTGATTCCAGAGGAAGGGAGAGGGGGAGAGAGAAACATCAATGATGACAGAATCATTGATCTGCAGCCCCCTGCCCGCCCCCTATTGGGGATCGAGCCTGCAACCCAGGCATGTGCCCTGACTGGGAATTGAACTGTGACCTCCTGGTTCCCAGTTCGACGCTCAACCCCTGAGCCACCAGCCGGGCCAGGTATAACTTCCCACCCAGGAGCACGAGCTGCTCACACCCACAGGGTGCTCAGAGGAGCAGGGACTTCAGCGGCCGGCTGTTTCGGATGGGAAGACGGAGGCACTCGCCCAGCCCCACAGCCACTCGTGGTCCGGCCCTCACCTGGGCCTCTGCTCGCAGAAGGTGCAAGGGCTCCATGGCCCATGGCTCTGCACACCCCGCCCCTCTAAGGGAGCACGGGGGAGTCCTGTGGAATCGCAGACCAGGGCCCCAAATCCTCCTCCATCCCGTGAGAGCCATGCCCCCACCCCACCCCTGCTTTCTCTTCTGCAAGACGGGACCGTCCTCCTGGGAGACACAGAAGCTGGGCTCCTCCCTGGGGCAGTCATGGCGGGTCGCTCTGTAACCAGCCTATAGGTGTGGGGCAGGTCCCTGGCCCCATCTCACCCCACGGGCAAATGGGCCAAGGTTCCAGTGACCCAGCAGGTGGATCTGGTCAGGCCTCGCAGGGCCTGGACAGGGCCAGATGGAGGGCCTACCCCATCCCGTTTGGGGGTCCTGGTCTAGGCACTGAGAGTCCCCGGGGAGGGTCAGAGGCAGGGAGTAAAGGGGTATCTGGAGAAGGGTCGCTACGCCCCAGGAGGGCAGTCCCCAGGAGGGAGGCGGGCGGGCCTGCACAGCTGGGCGCGGGGGCGGAGGTCAGCAGGCAGCCAGGAGCGGGAGGCAGCCTCGGGGACACACAGCCCCACGGCTGTCAGGCCACACGAGGGACACTCACCGTGAGCTGCTGGTCCTTGGGTTCCATGTCCCTCGTGGCAGGGCTAACCAGGCTGGGGAGAGGCGGGCACACAGCTTGCTCCCTGCTCCCCGCTGTCCAGCTGCACAGACCTGCGGTGGGTGAGAGGGCAGACAGCCTGCTCCCTGCTCCCCGCTGTCCAGCTGCACAGACCTGCGGTGCGTCACCTGCCCCGCCCTGGTGACATCAGTGCCCCAGGGGCCCCTCAGGGATGCTGGGCTGCCCACGTGCTATGGGTGGGCCCCAAGCAGCCAGGTGGCCCAGGCCCGGTGGGTACAGGCTGGCTGCCCGCCAGGTACATGGTTACAGCACCAGCCTTTGACTGTGCGCTCATCTGATGCCTTGGCAACCCAGGCTCCTCTGCCCCACCGCACCTGCTCCCCAGGTGCGCCTGCCCGAGCCCTGCCCCGCGTGGGCTTGCGGCTTCCCGTGGAAAGGGGGATGGACGCCCCAGCCGACACGCAGTGCAGTGTTCCCAGCTGTGGGGGCTTCTCCCCGAGGAGCTTCTAAAGCACCTGCAACCCCCGGGCTGGCGGACGAGGACGTGGCTGCTGCCCGTGGCTCACCCTATCTGGCTGCGGCCTGAGCGCACTACCGCCTGCTCCTCTCCCATGGCGCCTCCACGGACGCCGCTGCCTGCAGGTCAGGCCCTGACCGTGTGGCAGACTCGCAGGTCCCTGGCCACAGGCAGCCCTTGCTGGTGCGAACCGTCAGTCACTCCTGCACTTGCTATGAACCAGAGACCTAGACCGTGAAGTTCAGGTCAGAAATCCCAACCACAGGGCCTTGGGGCCGCAGAGGCCACTCCAGGGGTGGGCCTCGGGTCGACTGCTCAAGGGCACCACATGCTCCAGCCTCGGGCCTGGCAGACCAGACGTGGCACTTGGGTGGTCTCAGGCAGTGGTATTGGGCACACCCCCGCTCCCTTCCTCAGCCTCCAGGTCCACGTTGGGCTCCAGGATCCGTCCCCAGCCATGAAGCGCCAGCCTGACCCGTCAGGACCCTGCTGGAGCCCAGGTGTCCAGGTTCTGGGACAGGGGCCAGCCCCCCCCCCCCCCTCCCCCCCCCGATGGGCCAGGAACTGCCCACAGGGCCAGCTGGGAAACCATGTCTGCAGCAGAGGAATCAGCAAGCAGTGTTTCAGAACGTCTTTATTGACAAGTTATGTACAATTACAACTAGTGAGTTTAAAGGCATGAAGTCAGTCCTTCGAAAGCGCTGGAATCTGTTAATGGAGCTGGGCCTTTTCCTGCTCCCGCAGGAAGGCAGGAAGGCGGCACCGTTGGCTCCGCTGAAGACCAGGAGAAACGGGCGACGCACCGCAGCGAGGACGCACCGCAGCAAGGACCGCGCACGGAGACTTAAGGCTCTGAGAACAGACAGGAGCACCTGCGGTCGGACGGGCCACGCTGGGCAGCAGGCCAGCCCACGCAACGGGCCGAAACCACATGGCTCTGCTCACTCCCCTTCAGTGGGGAAAGGTCATGTCATCAGAGGACCACAGAAGAGCAGCTAAAGCGACAGCTGGACAGGCCTCTGGGGAGGATGGAAGGCCCTTCACGTCCGGGAATGACAGGCATGGAGAACGCGGAGACAGTTACAACCCAGAGCTCAGCGGCACAGCAGGACCCCACCACGGGGTGCCCCCCAGCCTGCCACGCCTGCACGCGAGCACGTGACCGAGGGACCGAGCCCCACAGGGGCAGGGAGAGGCACCAGATCACGGTCGCTACCTACGTTTAACGACAAAGAAGACAACTTGTTCGTACAGGTTTGCTTTTATTTCCATTGAGAACCTGCCACAGCCTGGACGCGAGACCAGGCACTGGGTGCCCCCGCACAGGGACACAGGGTGCACTGCTCCCAGCTGCTGTCCAGGCCCCGGGCAGAGTCCCCACAGGAGGCCGAGGGGATCGTCGCCTGGTGGTGCAGCAGGAGGCCCAGCGGCAGCTCCCACGGGAGTCTCAGCGACAAGCACGCGGTGACTCAGGAACCACAGGAAAGGCTGGAAGCAGTGCCTCGAGGCGCCCGCTGGACACCAGGGTGAAGGCACAGCTCTGGAGACGGCTCCCGGGGCGCGTCAGAGCAGGAAGCACAGAGACGCCTAGCTCCGGCACGAGGTGGTGCTGCAACGAGGGGACACGGCTGACCCTCTGTCCTGCACGCACAGGCCCACGTCAGGGGCAGCTCCAGCCGCCCAGCTCCAGCCCTCAGCCTGGCGCCGGCTGTGAGCAGCAGTCTCGCCGGTGGAGCCGTCCGAGGATGACCAGTCACTCCCCCGTCTGGGGCAGCACTGCCTGGACCCCAGTCCCTCCCCTGACCCACAGCTCCCAGCTGCAAGGCCTCTAGGCCAGTCGTCATGGCAGCACCCGAGTCCCTGCCACACTCGACGGGGCTCCGAGGGCTCTCATCTCAGACCCACCAGGGACTGGCACTGGAGGCCCTTCCCCCACACTGGCCAGCCCCGCCCTGGAGCTCCATCTCAACGTCACAGCGCACAGCAAGGACCTCACTGACCTGAGAGGTGAAATGGGCTTTCCTGCGTCACCCTGAACGAGACACTGGCTAACCTGCGGGCCAGCCGGAGGCAGCTGCCGGGGGAGTCTTACCACAGTGCGGTCGGTCACTCCTGACTCCCCAGGGGGATGATCTCCTCCGTGACAAAGAACTCGATGGTCTCCTCCTCCCAGTCATCCACATTGCTGTCCAGCTCGTCGGTGTCCACGCCTAGAGGAGGGACAGAAGGGTGACAGAGGGGCGGGCGGCGCCGGCCGCAGCCTCAGCATGCACACAGCCAGGCGGCACGGACCACAGGCCCTCGCCGAGGCCGCGGGCACGGTGGGTGGGAAGGCAGCTCAGACCAGACCTTGGCTGATGAGAACGTGACACACAGGTGTGCTGAGAAGACCGTGAGGGAGCATAGACGCCAAGAGAAAACGGCTGAACAAACACCAGCTCTAGAAGCAGATCCCGCTCAGTTACCTCCTCGCAATTCCAGACGCTCGTTTTTCTGCTCCATGTACAGCTCCTGGGCCATTTTCCGGTACTTCCGGAAGTCCTCCATCATGGTGCGCCGCCTCTCCACCAGTTCCTAGGGGTGGGGCCGGGCAGGGCGGGGTTAGAGCGGGCACTGCACCCAGCACCCTCCCGACCTTGCTGCACCAGGAGGGTTGTGTCAGCAGCAGCCGCCAGACGACACAGGGAAACGTCCCTTAAAGGGCCCGCCAGGACAGGAGTGGTGGGGTGCTCCTTCCTTCTCTCCTCCCAACTGCCCCACCCCACAACTTCTGTATCTGAAAGCCAGTTGCCAAGAGGGTCACAGGCCTGGGCCCTGCCCCAACCTGCAGGCGGCACAGGGAGCACCTTCCATGGAGAAGTGACTGCCCAGGGGGGACCCCCAAGCCAGACACTGGCCCCGCTCTGCCATGAGAGACGGCGGCCATCTGTGGCCTTTCTCAGTCCAAGGACCACACTGACCTTCGAGGCTTTGGACTGGCTCAGACGATCCTTCTGTTCGAAGATCTTGGAGTATTTCTTCAGATCTTTTCTAATTTGCTGAAACAAAGACGGGTCCCTTAGGACTTACGTACACAAAGCAAGACCCACAAATGCACCTTCCACACTGCCAACATGGAATGACGCCCAGCGACCGACGGGCACAGCCTCCAGGCACTCCGCGTGGCTGGGCGTTGGTTCTCGGGTCTCGCAGCAGTGGGCCCATCCTCCCTTCCCGGGCTCCGACCCTCAGCCTTGTCCTCACACCCTCACCCACTGCAGAGCTCCCCATGCGACGTGAGCCCCGTGGGGAAGTGGGCACAGTTCACGCCCGTGTCCTAGAGGGGTGCTGACGGGCCTGCGGCTCCTGAAGCTCCAGTGACTGCCCTCAACTGCTCTCCCCCTCGGCGGTTCCTGCTGGGGCATCCCTTCCCAGCGTCCCCCTCGCCCGCCATAACCCGCTGGAGAGCAGACCTTGATCTGGTCCTGGCTCAGGAGCGTGGGGGGCCGGGGCCTCCACAGCAGCTGGCAGAAGCGGTCCTTGTTGTTCTTCTGCAGGAGGCGGCCCTGGAAGGTCCACAGCCAGTACGCATTGTCCACCTACAAGAGGAAGGCGGTTCTGCTACCCCAGGGACCGGGTCCACGGTGGCGCCAGAGCCACACACCCACCTCACTCCAGGCCCGGGCGGTGTGGCGCAGTGGTTGAGCGTCAACTCATGACCCAGGAGGTCACGGTTCGATTCCCAGTCAGGGCACGTGCCCGGGTTATGGGCTCGATCCCCAGTGGGGGATGTGCAGGAGGCAGCAGATCCGTGATTCTCTCTTAATGTTTCTCTCTCCCCCTTCTGTCTGAAAACAACAAAAATAAGTATTTTTTTTAAAAGCCTATCCCACTCCACACTGGTCTGCAGGCAGATGGTGTGCCTTTGCTGGTGGTACCTGGGGACACGGTACCTGGTACCATGCGTACCTCCCTCTGCTGCAACCCTGTCAGGCAGCTGCGGAGCCGTCCCATTTAACCGCGTGCCGAGGCGGCCTGCTGAGCCGACAGGGGGCACAGCCACGGTCCTGGTCGGGATATAAAGACACTGCTTTGCAGCGTGTTGACCAAGCCCGTGGTCCTGAAAGTTCATGACTTCACTCAACAGAATCACCTGAATTTGACCACAAGCTGGGTGACCAGACGACGATGGTCCAAACCAAAAACTGCTTGGGAGAGCCCTCACCGCTTTGGCTCAGCGGATACTGTCAGCCTGCGGACTGAAGGGTCCCAGGTTCGGTTCCAGTCAAGGGCATGTGCCTTGGTTGCAGGCATATCCCCAGTGGGGGTTGTGCAGGAGGCAGCTGATTGATGTTTCTCTCTCATCGATGTTTCTAACTCTCTGTCCCTCTCCCTTCCTCTCTGTAAAAAAATCAGTAAAATATATTTAAAAAAAAAAAACTGCTTGGGAGAGAAGCAACTGCTGGGAGCACACAAGCACCCCGGGACACGCCCTCCACGCGCACCCCACAGCAAGTGGCCCAGGGGAATGCCCAACCACAGGGGAGGCTGCAGACCGGAGACCCGGCTGTTACAAGGAAGACGGAGCCTGACCCGGGAGAGCGTGACCAGGACCGGCACCTTTTATGGAAAAGGCTGATGCCTCAGGCGCTCTGGTCAGGTACAGACGGCCCGAGCGTCACGGTGCGGAAGTGACGTGCACTCGGGGGAAACCGAGTTTCAAGCTCTGGACCATCCCAGGGCTAGTGCGCCCAGCATGCTCCTCTCTGACGCTGGACGGTGGCCACTGCCCACGTCAGGCCGTGTGAGTGCTGCCCACACGTGCAGGTGGGCGAGGCCGAGCCATGCTGATTGGTGGGCACTGCCCACTACAGTACTGACTGGAACACAGCCCTCTCATGAGTGAGAAGCTTCTACACGGAGGCAGCTGGAGCTGGGCCCAAAGGCTCAATGAACCGCGGAATCAGTAGCAATGCCCGCCCACCTGAGGAGTCAGCCACCAGCCCAGCACCACTCGGTCTCACAGTAGGCGGCTAGGTCCCCATACCTTGTGGCTCCACCAGGACACAGAGGTGACCACGTAGCGCCCAGTCGGGTCCCACTCCACGTCGGAGGCC